AACAACACGCAACAGGTGTTTATCACCTATTGCTTTGCATGGGATCTTCGCCTGTGCCAGGGTTTATCCGTGGACCGCTTACAAATCAGATCCGATTGATGAAAAATTCGACAGAGCTTCGCCTTCGCTGAGGAAGTATTTAATTTGAAGCGTTGAGACCGACCAAGCGAAATCAGCATTTTTCTCGAGATCAAGACCAAGCCAGATCTCAAGGAAATGGGGGAGGCGGGCTTCGGATCTTTCAAACTCTCCTTCTTTATGCTGGAGAACTCACCAAGATCTATCAACCCTTATTGAAATTCGTGCTCCTTTGACTCCTCAATTCGGTAGTACCTCCTCGTCTTGATAATATTTTGCCCCCCCTGAAAGGAGGCCCTAAGATTGTATTTATAAGGCTCCAGATACGGGTATGTAGATGATAACGAGTGATTTGGCATTATCTTTAGTCAATAACGGCCTAACCACATTTGTAGATGATATCTAGATAGTTAAGAATCTCTAGAACAGATAAATCCCGAGAAACCCACTCAAAACCGTCGAAAAATGCGTCCGGGGGTCAAACCCGCGTGAAACGCCCCGCGGGTCGGTGCGGTTCAACTCACGCGGGTGCGGGTAGTTCGGCCTTTTTGCTGAATTGTTTGGTGTTTTCGACTTTTTTGGGACTTGTATTTTCCACCGTTTTGCTTATTTGACCATCTTGTTGACTTGTACGATTTGCTAACTTGCTTCATACGCTCGTTAGCTTCTTTACGGCACTTGGAACTGACCGACGAGCGCAAGTTGACTAACGAGTGCATTCGGTCGCTTGGAGTTGATCGACGCTTGCGAGCTGATTGATGCATGCGAGCTGATTGACGCGCGCGTATTGACCGATGCACGCGAGCTGATTGATGCGTGCGTGTTGACCGACGCGTACTAACTGATTGACGTGCGCATGTTAACCGACGCGTACAAGCTGATAGACGCGTGTGTGTTGACTGACGCACGCGAGTTGGTTGACGTGAACCTTCTCGATTCGTTCACTCTTCATTTCGAGCTGCGTGCGGGACCTTGTAGGCAATTTTAGATGCCTACAAGAACTAATGTAGCTAGAAGGCATGTTGTGAATGACCCTGACCCTTCAATTCAAGCCTCGCATTTCTCTATTTTGGATCATCAGATAGTGGAATTGGATCTCTCTAGTATTGATAAGGGGAATTTCTCAATAATGCACTTGGCCATCTGGATTATTAGAGGGTTTAATAAATCCTCTAAACACATGGTAGTTAGACAAATAATTCAGGAATACAAGCTCTCATTTTTAGCCCTTTTGGAATCAAAGGTTGCTGAGGAAAAAATACAAACCATTGCCAGTAAGATTACAAAAAACTGGGAGTGGATTTCAAATGTTCATGAAACAAACAATGGTAGAATATGGATACTATGGGATAATGATATTCTCACTGTTAAATACCTAAAATCATCAAAACAATACATGACATGTACAGTGCAATCAAACGATGATAAGCTGTCATGCCTAATCACAATTGTGTATGCTCTCAGTCATCTGAAGGGTAGGAAATTGCTCTTGGAAGATCTCCTAACATTTAAAAGAAATGTAAATGGACCATGGTTGGTAGGTGGAGACTTCAATGCTATAATTGATAATGAGGAAAAAAAATTAGAGGTGCACTAGTTACAGCTGCTGATACTAAGGACTTTTAAAACTTTATTATTTCAAGTCAACTAATGCACATAAAGTCTACAGGATGTTATTTCACCTAAAGCAACAAGCAAGAGGCAGATGCAAGGATTTGGTGCAGACTTGATACACTAGTAGAAAACTGAGCATTGGTGATGAGGTATTGGCGACGGATTTGAAATCTGTCGTCAATACAAACATTGGCGACAGGGTTGTTCCCGTCGCCAATGTTTGTATTGGTGACGGATTTCAATCCGTCGCCAATGATTTTCCGTCGCCAATAAGTATTGGCGACAGAAAACATTGGCGACGGATCAAATCCGTCACCAATAAGTATTGGTGACGGATTTGATCCGTCGTCAATACTTATTGGCGACGGATTTGATCCGTCGCCAATTATCTGTCGCCAATAAGTATTGGCGACGGATTAGATCCGTCACCAATACTTATTGGCGACAGATTTGATCCGTCGTTAATGCTCCGTCGCCAATACGTATTAGCGACGGATTAGATCCATCGCCAATACTTATTGGCGACGGATTTGAATCTGTCGCCAATAAGCATTGGTGACGGATTCGATCCGTCGCCAATGTTCCATCGCCAATACTTATTGGCGACGAATGTAATCCGTCACCAATAACTATTGGCGATGGATCGAATCCGTCGCCAATACCTATTGGTGACGGATGGAATCCGTCGCTAATACTCATTGGCGACGGATGCGTTTTGTCGCCAATGCTAATGTGTCCATCGTAAAAAAATTAACATTAGTGATTGATTATCCCATTGTTAATGAGTGGCCCCCACAAAAAAATTAAGAATTATTTTAATATTAGTCTCTCAAATCTATAATATTTTAAAAGAAGTCCACCAAATTATCCATTGTAAAAAATAACATTAGTGCTTGATTATCCCATTGTTAATGAGTGGCCCCCATAAAAAATTTAAAAATTATTTTAATATTAGTCTCTCAAATCTATAATATTTTAAAAGTAGCCCACCAAATTATGTAAATTGCTACATCTAGGGATGTAAATGAACCAAATAATTAACAAATAGTTCGGTAATTGTTCAAATAACTATTCAGTCATATTCGATTCAAAGTTCATTTAACACATTCAAGTTTGCTAACGATTAGAATTTGACTAGATGTATATTCGATTCGTTTGTTTATTAAATATTCGTTTAAAATTAATCACATGTTATTATTTGTATTAGTGCATATATATGATGTCATATTTGTGAGTTTTTGGCTTCATCTTTGATTAGTTTTGAGAAAATGATGTGAAAAATGAAAATGTTGAGAAAATGGTAAAAAAAACAAATAATCTTAGATCTTAAATAGTCTTAATCAAATAATCATTTCTACTTAAGTTTTATATACCGATTTTAAGACTCAAATAATCTTAAATCTATTTTCTAATTAAAATTTGATTTAAATATATACACATCATATATATATAATATAAAGGAATAATTTTTATTTATGAATTTTAATAATACTTTAAAATTAAATTCTTTAGCAGAATAAATATATTTTGATATTCGATAAGTATTCGTGAGTTTTTGGCTTCGACTGTGATTAGTTTAGAGAAAATGATGTGAAAAGTGAAAATGATGAGAAAATGGTGAGATACCAATGAGAAAATCATTTTTAGTTATACGTGTTATGAACATGTAACCATATTGATCTTGCTAATGATATACCAGATTATGTAACCATATTAAGCCTGCAAACATCATTAATGAATCTGAGAGGAGCTAAATTAGATTTAATCACTAAAGAAACTGATGAAAATAGTTTGGATGAAATTCTATTGAAGTTTTTATAAGGTTAAGAGGAGAAGGAGCCGTCGAAATATGATATATGTTGGATAAAAAAGTCGTTTTTAATGGATTTGGGTTTCCACGTTTTAATGGGTCTTATTTACTTAAACATAATTTTGAAATGACCTAAACATTAACTTTGAAATTAAGGATGTAAAAGGAAATTTGATAATAATAGTTAGATTTGAGGGTTGCAATAGCAATTCACCTAAATGACCTAATTTTACATCTAATTTCACAAAAAATCTAATATTACTCTAATTGTAATTTTAATATCGTAATAATCTAATATTAACTTAAAGGATGTAAAAACTAAAAAAAATTGGCTGGAGAATTCCCCCTAAAATTTTTACCTAAAACAAATTAACAAATATTCCCCAAAACCCTCTCCTCGACCGCTACAACTTCGTCTCCCCTCCCTCCCTCCTCCCCCAAAACCCTAACCCCCCAAATCAAAAGAAGAAGAAACCCAAGAAACCCCCTTACAGACCCCTTCATCCCTCAACCGCTCCGGTCAGATCCCCCTCCACTCCGACCTTCCCTTCGAGAGTCTCCTCCTCCGCCATCTCCTTCGTCATCTTCAAAGCAATCCAGCTCCTTGCTGCCGACAGCTCCAGCTCCTCCTCCTTCAAAAATGAGAAGCGCGCCCTTCAATTTTGGCTCCCTCTAATTCCGGCATCATCCTCACCTTCGCCTGGCAACGCTTCATCCACTTTCGGCTCCACAATGTCGGTAGGCATCCTCCTCCTCTGCTCTGCCATCCCCTCAGCCAGCTGCCTCGGCGTCGCCCTCTTCCGCTTCTCCATCGGCGTCCCCCTCTACTCCTGCTGGGTCACCCGCCGCATCCCCTTCGCTGCCAAAATCTTCGAAAAGTCTCTGCAACCCGTCGTGAAATTCAGTCTCTGCAGCCCATCGACTCCACAATGTCAGTCTCCTATTATTGGTCATATGTTAACAACAAGGCCAAAAATAGATTGTAAAATCTACCTTTGCTCATGGATGTATCATGTATATGCTTGATATCTTTATGGTGTGTTCACAAATTACCACTCGACCCTCAGTTCATTTGATATCGTAATCATTACCTGTTTCAGATGCTTCATTTTCGGAGTCACTATATGGTTTGCGTAAGAGAGCAGTGAAGGTCGGAACAAGTCAAAATTCTGTGAATCCTGAATCTAATGAAGTGTCACTTCAGTCTCAGTTTAAGGAAGCGCCAAAAAGTTCTCTCAGTTGCATTATTGGTATTATACCCTGCCTTATGGTTGTTCAATAGTGTTAAAATGTTAGTGAAACATTGCTTATGTAGCCGATTTTACATTGGTTACATGTGAAACATTTGCTTGCAGTTTCACATTTCGTGAAAATAAGCTTTTGCTCCAAATTTAGAGTTACATCAGGAGTTTATTGGTGTTTTGGCTCTGAAAATTATTTGCATTGATCCTCAAGCATATGTGTTGGTTTGCAAGCTTATCCTCTGCTTATCAGCTATTGTATCTGTTGGATGCTACTGGTTTTAATACTCCAGGACTTCATGTTCTTGGAGTTTATGTTTGTCGTGCAACAGGACAAGAATTGGTATGAACTCTGGAAGCAGTTCCAAACTTGTTTTATCAGTTAATTTTGCAGTTATTTTGCATTAAGTTTAGGTGATTGAATCATTGTTGAGTTTTGCCTGCTTGTCAGCAAACTCATGCTTGCCCGTTTTGAGAGCCGGAGTAGTTGTCATGTTATATTTGTTTAAGTGGTCATATGGGCTATTTAGGTATCTGAATTAGAGGCATATACTTATATTTTCGTTTAAAATTTACCAGCTTGCTGATGTTAGAGAAAAATTAGTCATGCAGGTCGCAGGTGCAAGAACTCCTCCCGTCAGTTTTCATAACCTTTATGTCCTGGAGCATATCTGAGGTGTGTTACATTCTTATCATGTTTTCCCCCATTGAGGACTAATTATGTGTTTGAATCAACGTATGACTAGCTCTCAGCTCTTACCAAATGGTCTTTTTGACACATGGGTAGTCCTCTATGCATTTGACTAGCTTGTAAGGTAGCAATTTAAGATTCTAATCAATATTTGCTTCTGTATAGATCAAGAAGCCATTTTGAAACTGATATTCGAATAAATTCTTTTTGTATATGATCCTCAAACATCATGGATTATCTAGCTAGTTGTAAGAAGAAATTAGTGTTTGGCATGTTAAAATCTGCTAATTGGAGAGGAAGTTATGTGATTTGGTTGTTATTTTGTGGTAGGTGGGCTTCGATTGTGTTGACAATTAGTTATTGCACCACTTTAATGTTTGGTTGTTGTACATTGTTGGTGAACTCTTAAGACAATTTCGATGAATTTATTAGAATGTTAATGCAACAATTAAAAGAGACTAACTGAAGTCTGTTGTTGTTTATTCTCTTTATTCTTTAATTTGTTTTGTATTGGTTCAAAAAATACTTTTTATCAATAATCTTCTTTGGAATTCCTGAAGTTATCTTTTGAACTAGATTGTTAAGACTACTACTAGTGTATTAGGTTCTTTTGACGAAGATTATAAATAGTAGTCATCGTGTATCACTAAATACAAAGTGTCGGATGGAAATTTTGGAGCATTTGTCTATTTTTCCCAGCTTGTCCGTTTAGCTTATTAGATGAGTTTGGGTAAGCTATTTTTGATCTGATCCTGAGTTAAGGCTCAAACTTCCAAGCTCTTTTACATCTCTGATGCTTGGAGATTAATTAAATCACATGAAATTAGCTTTTCTTGATTATTATCCTGATCAGTAATCACTTTCTCTTACAGGTTTTATGATCTTAATGTACATTGCACAAACCTATCTGGACATCCGACAACATGCATAAGTTCTCTTGGTATTATGTGCTATATGATCCGACAACATGCATAAGTTCTCTTGGTATTATGTGCTATATGTTTTTAATCCTGTAACTGTTCATAACTCTTGCTCTTCTTCTAGCCTAGTAAATATCGTCTATACTTGAATACTAATTTGTTACTTAATCCCAGTCACTTCCACTTTGTTCATGAAGGCGTAACAATTCTGATGGAGACTACAATTTTGTTTTTTGGCATATTACCTTGGTTCTGGAAGGTAACAATTTGCACCTTGCATAATTTGGTGCTTTTCCATCAATCTTATCCTGGAACTTCTTTTGTGATTACAGAAATCTGGAGAGTTGGCAGTGTACATTGGCTTGAATGTAGACAATGAAATAATTCATACCCTTTCGTTCTTAGCAAGAGTCATGATTTGGTCGTAGGTATGGATGTTAATCATTCTAAGAGTCTTCCCTAGCGCCTCATTGAGCGTCCGTTCTTAGAATGTTGCACAGCGCCTCATTGAGCGTCCAACAATGAGAGTCTTCCCAACAATGAAAGTTATTGGTTACAACACATGCACAATTGACTTGGGATATTGCACAACGCCTCATTGAGCGTCCGTCCTTAAAGGAGAGTCTTCCTGAGTCGATATATGTAGTTTAAGATTGTGTTAATACATGTTATGACTTTTGAATTTTACATACATGTATTATATTTGTGAGTTTATTGCGTAGTGAATGAATATTATTTGAGCATGTGAGATGTATTGTAATTGTGATTATATGACGAGTATTATTCGATATTGTGGATTGACGGATGAAATTGACTATGTGGAATGTGAATGTATATCATGGTTGATTTTATGATATATTGTTAAATATTATCATTGGATTGATGTCGATACAGGTTATATGTGTATTCTCTCGTATGGGAGGCTACCGAAAAATTAAAATTTTTTTTGCCTAAATATATACATTAACGACGGATTTCCCCGTCGCCAATGCTTATTGGTGACGAAAAAATCCGTCACCAATCAACATTGGCGATGGGGTAATCCGTCGCCAATGTTTAAACATTGGCGATGGACTAACCCGTCACCAATAAACATTGGCGACGGGGTGATCCGTCGCCAATGTTTAAACATTGGTGACGGATTACCCCATCGCCAATGTTTATTGGCGACGGAAGTAACCCGTCGCCAAAGAAATCCGTCGCCAATAGTCGTCCGTCGCCAATAAGTATTGACGACGGGTTTTCTCGTCGCCAATACTTATTGGCGACGGAAATAAGCCCGTCGCCAATATGTATTGGCGACGGATTTTGGGGCATTGGTGACGGATTTCCCCGTCGCCAATACATTGTTTTCTACTAGTGATAGGGTGCTAGTGAATGAGGACTGGATTCAATACTAAAATTCCAGTCAAGTAGAATTTCTTATGCCTTCATGTTCAGATCACTCTCCATCTTTGTTAACTGTGGGAGATGAAAATTTTGAGGGAAAGTTCTTTAGTATGTGGACTAAGCATCTAGATTTCATACCAGTGGTCAAGTCAGTATACGATCAAAGAATCAATGGTTATAACATGTTCTTTTATGAATATAAGTGAGCAAGTTTCAAGAACTAAAGCAGAGTTATGTGACATCCAAAATCAGCTGAGCAACAATCTCTTTGATTCTGTCTTGATCTCTAAGGAGAAAGAATGTGTTAAAAATACACAAAGTTGTTGGATTGTGAAATCTCCTTCTACAGACAAAAAGCTAATATAAATTAGGGAATACATAGAGATAAGGGTACTCAATTCTTTCACTCTATCATGAAGGCTAAGAGACATCAAAATAGGGTTCTATCAATTCACTCTGAGGATGGGGTCAGAATATCTGATATGCCAGGGATCATACATTTTACTGAATATTACAAAAATCTCCTTGGTACAAAAATTCCTACTTCACCTCCAGACTCAGCTGTGATTTCAAGTGGTCCAGTTCTTTCTCCTAATCAGTGTAATGAACTGAGTTGTCCTGTTTCTAGAGAAGAGATTAAGCAAGTTGTTTTCTCCATGGCAGATGGCAAAGCTCCTGGGCCCGATGGATTTAATGTTTCTTTCTTTAAGAAAGCTTGGAATATCATATGTGAAGATCTTTTCTTAGCAATTGAAGAGTTCTTCTGCTCGGGTAAACTCATTGGCACTTTCAACTCCACTTCAATCACTCTGGTGCCCAAAATCCTTAATCCAAGCTCACCATCAGATTTTAGATTCATTTCATGTTGGAATGTTGTTTATAAAATTATCACAAAAGTTATAGCAAGCAGAGTTTAGAAGGTCATGGGTCACTTGATTAATGATGCACAAAGTGCTTTTGTTAAAGGGAGGCTTATTTCTAGCAACATTTTGATGGCTCGTGGGCTCATTAAGCATTACGGAAGGAAAAATAATTCTCCTAGGACCATTCTGAATATTGATTTAAGGTAGGCTTTTGATACTATAAGTTAGGACTTTATCAAAGATATGTTAACTGGATTAGGCTTTCCTAGTGTCACAATAGGTTGGATTATGGAATGCATTACAACTCCTAAATTCTTTCTATCTCTTAATGGAGCTTTACATGCTTACTTTCATGGTGCTAGAGGATTGAGGTAAAGTGATCCCTTATCCCCCTACCTATTTGTGATTGGCATGGAGTACCTATCGAGAAAGCTAAGCTTATTGAAGGGTGATAGATTGTATAAATTCTATCCTAAATGCTCTAGGATGAACATAACCCACCTGGTTTTTGTAGATGACATATTGCTGTTTAGCAAAGCTGATATGGGTTCAATTTCAAGGTTGAATTTGTGTCTGCAGGAATTTAACCAAGTTGTAGGCCTGGAAGCAAATCCCAACAAATGTTCAATATTTTTGAGTGGGATTGATGATAGCTTAAAAAAATCAGATTTGCAACTATCTGAACTTCTCTGAGGGGGAATTGCCTATGCGCTATTTAGGTATGTCATTGATTGCGAAGAGGCTTACTTACCTGGATTGCTCTTCTCTAATCAGGAGAATTTCTGACCAGTTCCAAACCTAGCAACAAAGGAGGTGATTATCATATGCTGGGAGGCTTGAATTGATTAAATCGGTCATTCTGGGCATTCAAACTTTTTGGACAAGCAACTACATCTTTCCTATTAAAGTCTTAGAAAAAATTGACAGGTTATGCTTTGATTTCCTATTGGGGAAAAATTCATCTTGTCTCATGGAGCATTATTTGTCAGAACAAAGAGAAGGGAGGATTGTGAATCTTTTCAGTAAAGAATGGAACTATGCGGCTGTAGTTAAGATCTTGTGGCAGATTCATCTTAAAAAGGATCTTCTTTGGATCAAATAGACTCACGAAAATTATTTACAAGCTTTAGATATCTGGCAAGTTCAGTTTAAGGTGAATGATTCATGGATGTGGAAACAAATCCTCAGTGAGGGATTTGATGCTAGCTAGGTTTGGAAATATTGCAAATTTCCAAAATACTGTTGGTGCATGCTGCACAGGAGGGAAAATTCAACTTTCAGCTGTTTATAATGCTATTACTCAATCAAATCCTTCAGCTCCATGGTCTAGCACAGTTTGGAAGGGGTTTCACTATCCAAAGCACTCGATTGTTCTTTGGCTAGCTTGTCATTCCAGGCTGTTAACCCAGGACCGACTTTGTCGCATGGGGATTTTGAACTCAAACAAATGTGCTTTGTGCCAGAACCATCAACTGAAAACTTGCAATCACCTATTCTTTGAATGTTAATTTTTAGCTGATATATGGAACAAGGTGATGAAATGGATGGGATTCTCTTGGAGATCATGCAACTGGAATCTACTTATCAATTGGTACTCCTTTAATCTCAAAGGAGGTGGTTTTAAGCAAAATTAAAGAGAATGGCTCTCTCTGCTACAGTTTATATGATTTGGCAAGAGAGAAATATGAGAATTTTTCAAGGAAAGACTCGGTCTAAGATGATATTGAGGACAGTGAAGATTTTGGTATACTCTAGGATTTTGAATAATGATAATATACTTGTTCATATGAGGGAAACCCTTGAGAGAATGTAATTAGAAATTTTGAGAGATTGTAATTAGTTACAGTGTGATCACCAGGAATTATCTGGTATTTTGATGTTCTCCACAGTTTACATATTGGGAAATGAATAAAAAAATTCATTGACCCCAAAAAAAAAAATCTACGTTTTTTGAATATTAGCATATTTTATGATTCTTGTGCGTGCATGTATGTATAGGTATAAGAGTGCACGAGTGCATGAGTGAGTTAATTAGCTTTATATATGACTAGGATTCAGATGGCGATAATATCAATTCAACTTTAAAATCTGAATTTCAAATTTAAAATACATACCACTTAATTTGGTCCAGTACACATATATTATATGGAAATGCATCTTGAAGTATTTAAACATGTTTCTCTTATATATGAATAAAATGAAAGGGGACTTTCCTTTGTTTTTCTCCTCAAAAAAAAGTATTTAAACATGTTTGATTACCCATGCCATCAGACATCAAATTACAAATTTTTATAAATTTGCTCAATTTTTTGTTCTTTGATTATATGAATAAAAACACACATCTAAATTAATAATGGAAGTTTCATTTCTAGATATTCCATATTTATTGCATCACAGGTTTGAGCTTAAAGATACGAGTTTTATATTAATTTAAATTTATAGTATATCTATATGTTCATACCATGAATATATAATATAGTCTATATATCTCGGTTATATGTGTAGGAGTATGTACATACATACACACGTACATACTGAGATAATTAATATGTGTAGGAGTATGTACATACATACACACGTACCTACATACCGAGATAATTAATATTCCATAATTCATTTCTCATTCACTTGGCCAGCGGTGGAATGCCAGTCGATCAGTTGCTTTCGGCCGGTTGTGCCATTAATTATTCCAACATTCTCATCGTCCTCAAAACGTAAAATTGAGAAAAGTTGAGCAGAAGTAACTACTGCTAGCAACAGGACCAGCATGCAGTAATGTGCAAGTAGCGAGCATTCAGCAAGCAAGGTATATTAGAATCAGTCAAAAAATTCAAATAAAGCCAAGGAACAAGAAAAGCGATGAGAAGTGTAAATAGAAAAAAGCAATCTTCACTTTCTTGCTTTATCTTTTGAGCACAAATTTACAAGCAAAAAATAGGAGCATGCATGATCAAAGAGCCATCCCCATCCATCCTCACTTTGGCTTTTGAGACTGATGAGAAGACTACACATTGTCCAAAAATTCTCTCTCCCATTTCATTTCACCACTTGTCTATGCATCAAATTTTATATGCTTCTCTTAAAATGTTGATGTATTGATTTTGGTGTTAAAAGAAACAAACAGTTTGTTTGTATG